GGAGGGGAGGGGTCTCTCTGTGGAGAGGAGAGCCTGTTGCCTTCTTACATCGGCCATCCGTTCGGTCTAGCCGTCTGGGGCCCTTTTCGATCTCTGGACTCTCTCGCAGCAAAACAAAAGATCCTTCGCTCTCAATTAGTACAGTTAGCGAGCGCCGAGACGGGTATAGCAGATTGGGCCCTTTTATTTCGGACTGTACTCGACTATTCCCGCGCACTCGTGTTCGTCGACGCTCTGACCGCAAGTTTCGGCCTTAATTTTATCGGACTGCCTCCGGGATAGTAAAATCATTCAGGGTCACTCGTGCTTTGGCCTCTCTCTCTCTCTCTCTCTCTCTCTCTCTCTCTCTCTCTCTCTCTCTCTCTCTCTCTCTCTCCCTCTCTCTCTCCCTCAGTCGACAGACCAGATTCTCGCTGGATCAATCAAACAGAGGGGCCTTAGACCCGCACTAGACAGCATTTACTAGACACAGTCCAGACGACAAGGCCAAAAAAAAAATATATATATTCAGAAAGACTCACACACGACGTATCCATTTATCTGGATATGAAAAGCGCTTTATACGGGGTATATATACCTATCGGGGACTAATCCTATACTCGTGGGCCCCGATATTAGGGACTGATTTTACTCGTATAGAGGCCTCTATAATCCTGACGATTTCTAAAGGAGAACAAGTCTCTCTCTCTCTCTCTCTCTCTCTCTCTCTCTCTCTCTTTCTCTATGTAATTCAGCAAGTCTCGACGATCCGACGGGTGTCCGCGAGGTTCCAGTAATATATATAGAATTTTCACAAAGCGTCATTAGAATCCGCCATGTTTTATCTTTTACGTGTATAAACAGGTATACGCGATGTAACGATCATTTACACGAGGTTACGCTTGACGGGCGAACGATTTCACGTCGGGGTCAGTAGACGACGCGTGGAATCGCCAGCACACCGGTCGAAATTCGGAAGTCTCGTAGTCACGTGACCTGCCTTAACCATAATGTCTCGGCTGCCATTGTACGTCGTGGGATATATTATCGCCGTGAACGAAGTATAGTACATGGATTTCGAATTTGCGTCTCAGCCGTTGAGTCAGCTGATTCGCTGTCGACGTACACACAAAATTCTCTATACGTCATTTCTACATGTATAGTTCATGGGTACCTTCGTGGTCTCTCTCTCTCTCTCTCTCTGCTAGGGCAACCTAACCTAATTCAACCGATCCACGCCACTGGCTCCTAATATAATTCTATCGCTCTTCAGCACGTGTTCGAAATCGTCTATTCCCCCCCCCCTCCCCCCACCCAGGTGAACACGTTATAACCCGAGAGCGACTTCTCAGCTGATACCGACGTATATGCGTCGCCTTTGGGTATCGCTGTTCGAAGTCGTATACCGTGCAGTGAAGGACGGGGCCTTCACTCGCGTAGAACGGGCCGAAGGAGTGCGACAGCGTGAGACTTATGTACGGCTAGAGGGTGCGAGAGAGAAGTCTTGACAGAGTGCTGGAGGAGGCTCGCTCGCTCGCTCGCTCGCTCTTGGCGTTT